AGGTTTCGTAGCAGTTTATATACCTTTTCAGATAATATCAAAGCAGTAAAAGCAACATTTAGAACATTAGGCCCAAACATGTAATAAAATCAGATAATGTATAAAACCAAATACAACAATTCATCTAAGCTCGAATTCTGAACCCTGAACCAGATATTCTAGGATCGATCCCTAGTAGAGTCGTCTGAGCTGTCACACCTCCTTTTTTCCTACACCCCCCGAAGGGTGTAAGGGAGTTTGGAGATTTGGGAAGAGGAGAAGGAGGGGGATCTGTGGTGTAAAATGGGGTAGATTGGAGCAACGCCGCCGGCGGAGACGATTTACGGCCGGCGGCTCACGGCCGAGGCAGTGAAGGGTTCTTTGAGTGCGTGGGAACGATGAGAGGGGGTAGGGGGGTGCGTTTGGACACTAATATACTTATGAAGCTTCAGTTTTGAGCCGTTTGATCAAGGGAAGATCAACGGCTCAGATTCCAGAATCCAATACGGCATCGTTTGAATAAAGGGGAAGCTTGGACCGGGTCCGAGTGGTCTGGGGCCTCAACTTGGACGGGTTTCAGGGGTGTTTAACACTTGGTCCTGGGGTTTGGAAATCAAATGCAGCCCAATTCAGCCTCTATTTCCTTTTATTTGTTTTCCTTTCTTTTTCCTCTTTTTTTCAAATTTCTTTTAGTTTTTTTTTAAATTAAAATTAAAATAAACCTAAATTAATCACTAATCAAATTATCCTATTACGTTAATTAACTCTAAATAACATTTACCACAAATAATTAAAAAACAAATTCAAGAAAAAACTACCAAAATTCGAAATTAAAATTAAAAAGTGCAAAATAAACTATTGTTGTGATTTTTCCATTTTTATGAAACAAATAATTTGTCAATTAATCCTAAAACATAAAATTAAACCCTAAATGCAAATGCAACATATTTTTTTATTTTTTATTAATTAAATAAAAATAAACATGCACAGACAAATGCAAATAATAACAAAAAAAAATCTATGAAATTGCAAACAAATAAAAAAAAATATTTTGTTTTGAATATATAGAAGTAATTCATATAGGGAAAAAATCACGTGCTCACAGGCATCATTTGCGTAATTTGGAAGTTTTGACGTTCTTAGGCTTGAATGTGAGGGTAATGTGGTGTTTTAATGTTGTTTTGAGTGTTCCAAAGGTTCGACTAAGTTTGTATGTTGATATGTGATGTTTTGGTATATTTGGTTGAGACCCCGAAGGGCTCGGGATGATTTCAGATGATTAACGGAGAAGTTTGGAAGCGGGATTTTGCAGCTGAACCTACTACTTTTGATGTTTCTGCACATGCGGAGTGGGGACTGCATGTGCGATGATCGCAGATGCGGGAAGCAACCGCTGATGCGGAATTTGTCGTAGGAGCGAAGGATTTGACCGCACCTGCGAGCCTGCAGGTGCGAGGCCTGGGGCTTAATTGCGGAAGTTGGAGATTTAAGTGAAATGCGCAGATGCGGCATTTGGACCGCATGTGCGTAAATTGGGCCGCAGATGCGGAAGTGCTAGGCAGAATGTATAAAAAGGCCCCTTCATGCATTTTGGTCATTCTTCTTCATTTTTCATGCAGATTTACAGCTTTTAGAAGCAATTTGAAGAGTGATTCAAGGGGGTTTTCACTGAGGTTAGTAATTTGAGCGCTAATACTCGTGATTTTGGTAGTTTTCTGTGGTTTAAACATGAAATTAGTGGTGATTAAGTGTGAAATAAGGGGTTAGGGCATGCGATTTTGGATAGTTTTGATTGAGGGTTTGAGGGGTCATATGGAGTCGGATTTTAGTAAATTGGGTATATATGGACTCATGAGAGGATAAGGATTCTAGTATTGTGATTTTTATCGGATTCTGAGACGGCGGCCCGGGGGTTGGGTTTGGCCAATTTCGGGAATTATAATTTAATTTAATAATTTTCACATGGGCTTTATTCCTTTAGCATGTATTGATGATATGATTTTGATTTTGGATAGATTCGGGGTGATTTGAGGCCGAGTCGAGAGGCAAGGGCATCGCGGTTTAGAGTTTTGTCGTATTTGAGGTAAGTAATGGCTATAGATCTTGTCCTGAGGGTATGAAACCCCGGATTTCACATTGTTTCACTACTTTTTGGTAACGCACATGCTAGATGACGAGCGTGGGGGCATGCACCATTGGGGATTGTGACTTGGCCTGTCCCGTATGGCAATTAAGTCGCATATTTGACTAAAAATTATTTGATACTTGTATATGACCAAAATTGGAGAGTTAAACTTCGGGGCTACTATACCACTCCACGCCCAACCTTGAGAATCCCGAAGCAGAGCGTGAGGTACAACCTCGAGGTGTGTCCCTCGATGGAGCACATCGAAGGTCCACTATAGTCGACCTCGGAGCAGTACAATCAATGATCATCATAGAAAGGCGGGAAAATTTCCAAATACACGTGGTTCGAGCTAACCAGGTCTGCAAGAATAGTACAAATCTGTACTAAGTCGCTATACAACTATACCAATAGAAGTTCCTCATTATTATTAGACATGTACAATGTTGGAATTCCCCCTCCTATATAAAAGGAGACCCTTGCCATTTTGTAGGACACAACATTGAATACAATAGAACATTCTCTGCTTTTCTTGCCTAAGCATACTCAACAATTATTCTACGAATTTATTGCGTTGTTCATCATTTGTTCATTTATTGTCCATTATCAACTACTAAAGGATGCCCTCGAGGTCCTCTACCGTTGAGCTCGGGGCCCTCAACCTTGTGACCATACAGGTTTGCTTATCATTTCTGGCTCATTTACACTTAGCATTATTCACTTAATAACTAGTATTAAGATAAATCACGTATTTTTAGAACCATAAATCAAATATAATTATCATTACCTTTTTTCAAGGTAAACAGTTTGGCACCCACCATGGGGCTAAAAATAATAGTGATTGTTTTGGTGCTAGTTTTCTGATAACACACGTTATTCTTCACACTTTTTCTTGTCAAAGATTCTTTTGATTTTAGGCTTAATCATGTCTAGCACGCAAAATGCACCCCTTCATGATAGTGAAAGACTTGGAGAAAACAGCGGCGTAGGGCTCGATGTACCACCTGTAAACCATAAGGGAGTGCCAAACGTGGAGCCAGTTGGTATCAGCTCCCATAATGCTCTAAACTTGGAAGTAGGCACATACCCCGTAAGGAATGGACGTAGGGAAGCCCAGGCTGGAGGCGAAGAAGCACGATGAATGGAAGAAGGAGGAGTCAGCCCCCAAGTAATATTCGAGATGCTGCAAGCTCAGCAAGTCGCCATCTCTCAACTTCAAAGTCAAAACAGAACCCCTAATACCGCTGAACTAGTAAACATATAGCACGAACCAGTGCCAGAAAGACCCGATAAAAGCGGCTTGGGGACTAACCCCTCAATCATGAAAATGCTTGAGGAATTGACTAAAAGAATCGAGTCAGGAGAAAAGAAGATAGAGGCTAACGATAAAAAAATGGAGACTTATAACTCGAGGGTCGATCAGATCCCGGGCACACCCCCAATTCTAAAGGGTGTAGATTCAAGGAAGTTCGTGCAGAGACCATTCCCATCAAGCATGGCTCAGAAGACTATCCCGAAGAAATTCGGAATGCCCGATGTCCTGAAGAATAATGGGACCGCAGACCCTAATGAGCACCTTACCGCTTACACTTGTGCTATAAAAGGGAATTACTTAAAGGATGATGAGATTGAATCTGTATTGCTGAAGAAATTTGGAGAAACACTGTCAAAGGGATACATGATGTGGTATCAGGACTTACCCCCAAACTCGATGGATTCATTTGCCATGTTGGCAGATTCTTTTGGGAAGGCGCATGCCGGTGCCATCCAGGTCGCTACAAGGAAATCCATCATCTTCAAGATCAAACAAAGGGAGAACGAGATGTTAAGGGAATTTGTATCTCGCTTCTAGATGTAGTGAATGGAATTACCACCAGTCTCCGATGACTGGGCAGTACATGCCTTCACTCAGGGCTTGAACGAACGAAGCGGGATAGCTTTGAAGCAGCTAAAGCAAAATTTGATTAACTAGCCCGCCGTGACTTTGGCAGATGTACACAACAGGTATCAATCAAAGATTAGGGTCGAGGACGACCAACTAGGAGTCCCCTCTGGCTCGGTATATTCTAGTAAGCTCTTGACCAAAGAACAAAGGTTTACAGAAAGAGAGTCGAGACCAAACAAGGAAAGTTATCAACCATATGTAGAATATCGAAGAAACGCCCCGAGGCGTAATGCACCTCGAGGCGATCAAAGAACAGATTGAGGTCAAAGTTCCTGGGGACTCATGAGTAAAATCGGGTTTGATAGGAACACTGGGCCGGTAGAGGCACCCCGGTTATCTGAGTAGAACTTCAACATCGATGTCTCGAACATTGTATTCGCCATATGTAAAATCAAAGATACTGGGTGGCCAAAACCCATAATGTCAGATCCTTTACAAAGGAACCCTAACTTGATATGCAAATATCAAGGCACTCATGGTCATAGGACCGAGGATTGCAGACAGCTTCGAGAAAAGGTAGCCCGACTGATCAGCGAAGGGCACCTTCGAGAGTTCCTCAGTGACCGAGCTAAAAACCAATTTCGAGAAAGAGAGGCGAACAGGATAAAGGAACCAGAGGAACCACAACACATCATCCACATGATCATTGGAGGGATCGACACCCCATAGGGACCCGTTGTCAAGCGAACCAAAATATCCATCATTAGGGAAAAGCGAACTCGGAGTTACATACCAGAGGATGCTATCACATTCAGCAAAGAGGACATTGAGACCTTGTCTCAGCCTCATAATGACACACTTGTAATTCCTTTTCTTTTGAGTAAGTTTCAAATTAAATGTGTGCTTGTGGATCCAGGTAGCTCAGCCAACATAATCAGGTCGAGGGTAGTGGAAAAGCTCGAACTGCTCGACCAGATCGTACCCGCCTCTCGAGTCCTTAATGGATTCAACATGGCGAGTGAGACAATGAAAGGAGAGGTCATCCTCCTGGTCAACATGGCTGGTACAATCCAAGATACCAAGTTTCATGTCATCGAAGGTGACATGAGATACAATGCCTTACTTGGAAGGTCGTGGATACACAGTATGAGGGCAATGCCATCAACCCTTCATCAAATGTTGAAATTTCCAACCAAGGAGGGAGTAAAAGCAGTGTATGGGGAGCAGCACACAGCAAGAGAGATGTTTGCGGTGCACGACGTAGCACCGGCATCAATGCCCTCTACATCAAAGAAGCCAAAAGACAAGTCAATATCCAAATAGCAACCACAACCTACATTCTCGGCTCCACCCGAATGAGTGAATAAAGGACTGTGTCGCGTCCTCGGAGTAAGCAATTAAAACAGATCGAGGCTCTAATGCTATCAATGCTAAGGTAAAACCTTATCCCCTTTTCATTTATGTTTTGTACTAACTTATTGCAAGTGTTCGATTAAGAGGAACCGAAGCACCCTCCAGCTCGAAGACCTTGGGTTTTAAAGCATGTGTTACGCTCTTTTTCCCTTATATCTGATTTTATCCCAAACGGGTTTTACGTAGAGGTTTTTAACGAGGAAACATCCATATGCTACCTAAGGAAAACTCATCATGTATTCGAGTTTTCTCTTCGATCAACCTCAAATACTGGGGGGCATCGCCCCGGGAGGTCATCTCTTCAAAGAAATCGAACTATGCCTTGGAGAACCTCGTTAGGAGAATGTTGTATTGGGCTAAACGGCCAAATAAACCATGTCCATGTAGAATAATCGAGCATCCAAAGGAAAAAAACATGTACACATGTATCAAGTAATTGAGGAAGCCTCTTTTCTTATCAAAACACTTTGTGCCTCGAAGAAGCTCATTGCTTTCTCATAAGACGGCTTGAGGGCCAAAAAACTCTCGAATACTCTGGTACTATTATCGACAGTCAGCTCATCGAGCCATCGAAAAATCAAATTCGTAAGCCCTTGATCAGGCAACTTCGAGCTCGTAAGACCTCAGTGAGGCAACACCAAATCTGTAAGACCTCAACGAGGCGTGCCAAAACTTATAAGACCTTAAATTGCATAACCCCGATATTAAGACTGAGGCTATATATCAAATTTGTAAGACCCCTAAAAAGGCATACTCTTGATATAGACGCTGAGGTCATCTCACTTGGGGACTAAAGGCTATGGCCGAACATAAAGACAACGGTCATATCAAAAGGCTCCGGCCAAAGTAATGTGGCTCGGAAACGTCCGATCGGCGCCATAAAATTAAAGGCCTACAAATACTTCGAAAATACTTTGAAAAGAACCGATTAATCAGGCTACCCCCGACATAAGCAGAGGAGCTTCGATCATATCAGCTCCAAACAATGAAAAGGCTTCGAGACAATCAGCTTCAGCAAAAGGCTTCGAAAATCAGCCTTCAAGAGAACCTCCTGAGGTACTCAATTATCGTCATATATCGACTCATAATTGAGGTTCTTATTTGAGCGGTCGAAAAGTCGGACGAACACAAAACATGCCAAGGCATAATCAAAACTTCGAAGTCTTCAGTCGAATTGGGGAAAACTATAGCCATATTAGAGGTCGCATCGGCCCAATCTAAAAGTGCCTAAGGGCTAATGCATAAGAGCCTAAGGTCCAGCCTAAAGAGCCTAAAGGCCAATACGTAAGAGCCTACGGGCCAATATGTTGAAAATGTAAGGGTTAATGAGCCTGAGTCAAAACATGATTCGAGGATCGAGCCATGAATGGTCAACTGGAATCAATTACTCATCGAGCACAACCTATGGGTTCCTATCTTAAAAGTCCAAACATATCGGACTAATTATCTACAAGTATCAACACTCAAGACATAAATAAAGACACAAGCAAGTAGAAATTCATAGAAAGGGAAATTCGAAGGGTTCCTTTTTATTATAAATAATAGTACAAAGGTACATTTACAACACTCCCGCAGGGAGCCCTATACAAATAACAAGAAGAAAAAAACCTAATCTACCCTCAGGAAATTAGCCTTTCCTCCATCGGGACCAGCTCCCTCACTGCCCCCCTACTCGTTGTCTTCAGCATCAGAAATGAGGAACTTGGCGTCAAACTCATCTGTCTTGGCCTGCTCTATCTCCTTCGAGAGATCGAAGCCCTTACCATGAATCTCCTCGAGAGCTTCCCTCCGGGATTTACATTAGGCATATTCATTGATTCTCCTCTCTTGATCGGAAGCCCCCCTCAACTTCGTACGAGCTTCAGCAATATCAGATAGATGGTCACCTTCTTATCGACTTTTGCTCAGACGTCTTTAGCTTCGGCTCGAGCATCCACGACTTCGGCCTTCATCTTCAAAAGGTTTGTTTCAAGCTTAGCAATCTTTCTCACCTGGACCAAGTTGCCTTCTCGAGGATTACGTAGCTGTATCTTGAGGGCGGAAGCCTTAGCAAAAGCGTTCCTTTTGGCTGCAACATGAGCATCTATCTGTGCCTTCAAGTCATTGCATTCATAATAGACTTGGTTGGCTTAGCCCTAAAGGCGCTCCAGCATCTCTATCTTTCTCTGCAGTTGGGATACCAAAACATTAGTTTCCAAAGATAGGGGAAAAACCTGTATTCCCTAAAAATAGAAGTTACCTGTTTCTCGAGGATTCCTTCGTAATCACAACTTCGGTCGAACTCCAATCGAAGATGTGTTAACTCTTTTATCTTGTTATCACAAAGAAGCTTGAGAGATTTCTCCCCATTCAAGGCTTTATGCAACTTAGCCTCACAGCAAAACAGCTTAGACTTGAGCTTATCGAAAGCCTATGAGAAAAAAAGGTTCGGTTAAAAAGGAGAAAGCATGAAGTTGGAAAAGCTGTAATAACTTCAAAACTAACCATAGAACAGAGCTGCTGAGCTTCCTCGAAGGTCAACTTCGCATCTACCGGCTCGAACTCATCAGCCCCGGTAGAACACCCCGAGGCACTCTGATTGGACAGAGATGCATCAAAGCCTATTCTCCTCGAAATACTTCCCGATGTCCGAGAACCAACTGCCCAACCAAGTAATGAAGGACCTCCACCTTTCCTCGCTTGTGGAATCTCTCCCTCGAGACTAGGGGCCTCGAGTCCAGCAGGCTCAACAGTCTCAGGAGGCCTCCTGGTTCGAGCCATCAATATAGAGTCATCCTCTCCGAGTGCATTAATTTCCACAAAGAGACCAATAAAAATGAGGTTTTCATCAGCAGCAACATCCTCCTCGCGCCCCCGGGCGGATCCTGCTTTGCTATGGGAATCCTCGTCCTTCGATGACCTTTTCCTTTTATTGTCCTTCCCTGACTCAGAAATCGAAGGTCTTTCCTCCTCCTCTAAAGGGGGCGGTCTCACCTTAGAAAACTTACCAATGACTGCTATAAAGAAATTAGTGTACGAAAGGGAAAGTACTCCTCAAGAGAAAGACCACATAGCACATGCCTTGGTGTTTAACCTCCCATTTGCCCTTCAACAAATCTCTCCAATTACGCTTATCATAAGTCGAAGAGGCCTCCAGTTTGGGAGCCCAGCCCGTAAGATCGGGGACCTCATTTGGCATTCACAGGATTGCTGGTGAAAAGGAAAGAAAATGCCCTTACGGAATCTGGCTCTACCGAGAACAATAATAATAAAATACAATGTATCACTTACGCTTGAAATTCCATTTCTCGTGAAATGGCAGGAAATCCACAGGAATAATATCAACAGTCCTTATTCGAACAAACCGATTCATCCATCCTCGATCATTGTCCTCTCATCCCTAGAAATAAAGGGCTTGGTGGATCAGCGTTGTAGTGTAACTTGACCTCGATGATGTAAAGGCCGATACAATCTGATAAGATGGCTAAGAGTGAACTCGAGCTCGACCTTTTCAGCAAAAAACTTTATCATAAACATAATCCGCTAAAAATATGGATGGATCTGAGCCAAAGTAACTCGATATGTTCGACAGAATTAGAGCACGAGTCGATTGAAAGGACCCAACATAAAAGGATACATGTACACGTTCAGAAACCCCTCTATGTGGGCCATAATATCCTTTTCCCCGGAGGGTACCCGCAGCCTCACCTTTTCCCCCATCTGCAGTCTTTCCTAACAGCCTCGAGGTATCTCTCTTCTATTGATCGAATGAACCTCGATGCATATTCTCGATGGACCAGAACGTCGATAGGTTTCTCTATCATAAAATCATTCTTCGAGATGAAACAGTTCAAAGTTAGCTCACCAAACGTTGGCGGTGTACCATCGGCCGGGCGGAAAGCAGAGGTGGGACTTCCCTCTTCCTGGTAAGCGAATTTGGGCATGGTATCCATAGCTCCTTTAACACAATAAAGGGAATATGAAAACTCAAGAGAAAGCATTGATGTGATGTGGCACTAGAACTAGCGCAAAAAAAGGAACTCTACAGAGAAAGGTAGTTGCACAAAGCAGCAAAGCCTTCAAAGAAAGGAAAGCAAGTATATAAAAGAAGAGCGGCGACTATTCATTAACTTTGATAGCCAATCAACTCTCATGATGCAATTATGAATTTTTGGGAAATGTATTGGCAGGTCTATTTCGGTCACTTTACGGTCATGTCACATGAATAACGTTACCACCCCGTGTTCGAGGCATCGAGGAGTCAAATCGAGTCCTTACCAACCTAACCTAGGGAAGGTATGCAATCGAAACCAAAACAACTTGATCTATAAGGTCTTTGTTTCTCCGAGACCAAGCACGAAGAAGTTAAATTCAAGTTCGAAGCTTGACTTCAGCATGAACACTAAAAGGCAAAACATTAAAGACATTAAACAAGAAAACCATTTGCATTCCAAAAATATATTTACAAAGATGCATATACAAAACTCCCGCTGGGAGTCTATGTACAAAAGAAGAAGAAGTAAAAAGAGCAAAAGTGGCCTAGTCTTCATCTTCGCTACTCCTCGAGCCACTCGCAGAGCCATCGTCTAAAGTAGTCAGAGATGCTGACTCCTCTTCCAAGGCCTTTGCTTCTTTGATCTTGGCGGAGAGATAAAAACCCTTGGCATGCACTTCCTCGAAGGCCTTTCTCCGAGCCTCTAACCGAGCATGTGCAAGGGTGCAAGACAGTTTGAGCTCAGCCTCTCTAGATATCTCCCTGGCATGAGTATTTGCTACAACAGCGTCATCCCAATACAAAGATAAGAGTGCATCGGCTTCGGACTTGGCCATGGATAATGTGGCGGCTAACCCAGCATACAGCGCTTGGAATTTATGAGCCTCCTCCTTAGCACCTTGAAGAAGACCCTGGGTTGAGGGCATCTCCCCTCGAA